ATAATGAACCAAAGAGCGAATTTTGGGGTGATTTCTGTCATTGCACATACAAATGATGGGAATTTTAGTATGCTTTATCAGGCCTATTAGTTCCTAAAAGGCAAATTTAGAACATAAAAATCATTATTAAAAAAAAAACAGATATTATGCAAATTATATATTTTAGTATTTTTAAAAAAGCCCTCAATTGCTATGAATATCCATGCATATAACCCGTATTTCTTCATCTAAATCCCAACAGTAAAACAAAAAGACAGAGCGTTGCGTTACCTGAATTCCGCCCCTGTCCTCACTGCCGGCCATGCCGTCGACCTCATCCATGATGAGAGCATGCTTCGAGCTTACTGAAGGAGTTGTTCCACCTGGCCAGGAGTGAGATGGGACAAAAACACAGTGTGAACACGCTCAAACTGCCAGTTCCCAGAAGTTCTAAACACATTCAAGTTTGGACAACTGCAGGAGTTACGCCATGAGAAGAAACTCTCCCACCCTTCTGCAGTCCCAGTTCTTCTCCCCAGCAGCTCCCTTAAAGGTGTGCCTTGTGGTTTTCCACTTAATCAGTGACCACTGATCCATTTCCATCCATCCATCCATCCATCCATCCATCCATCCATCCATCCATCCATCCATCTATAGATAATATTTTTTTTCCTTAAGATTTATCTACCAGGCAGTGGTGGCACACACCTTTAATCCCAGCACTTGGGAGGCTGAGGCAGGTGGATCTCTGCCTGGGCTACAGAGCGAGTTCCAGGACAGCCAAGGCTACACAAAAAAACCCTGTCTCAAAAAGCAAAAAACAAAAAACAACAACAAAAAAAAACCCTAATAATAAAAAGATTTACTTATTTTGTGTATACTAGTGTTTTGTATGCATGAATGTCTACACACCAGGAGAGGGAATGTCCAACCCCAAGAATACTTCTTTTTTAATGTAATTTAATATTTGACTTTATAATAATAAACTATTAATATTATTATAAAAATTTAGTTTATTGATGAAATATTAAGATGCTTCCAAGCTTTTGCTATGACATATTAATAATTAAATATCCCATATGTATGTATGTGTCTATGTGTGTTTGTCTGTCTACAGTGTATGTGTGTGTGTGTCTGTACACACAACATTGTGCACACATTAAAGTATAATGACAGCTAAATTCCAAGAACTGGAATTTCTAAATTAGAAATTATGTATGATTTAAACTTGAGGGAAAATGCCAGATTGCTCAACTGTATGAACTAACAGCCACATACAAGAAGTAGTGTGGAGAGGTAACTGTCAGTACAGTGTTTGCCTAGCAAACACAAGAACCTGAGTTCAAACCCTACAACACACAAAAAATCTTGGGTGTGGTGATGTGTACACACACACACACACACACACACACACACACACACACACACACACAAATAGAAAGAGACTGTGTGTGTGAGAAAGGATATTTTCTGAGCAACTTCTTTCAAAAACTGATTTCTCCCATTAAAAATGCCAAGGTTCTAAGTAAGTCTCCACCGGCACGTTTGATCCTTAACTTACACATCTCCATTTCCCCCACTGTCACAGCCTGAACCACAATGGGCCCCTCATTCTTCAAGGCTTTTTGAACAAATACCATCCCTTTACCGGTGGGTTACAGAATGCCTCACACAATTTCCTCCTCAACCACAGGCCTTACACAGGCCGTATGACCTCATACAGCACACTGTATTTTTCATTTATTTTCCATACTCCTTTCCAGGATTCACCTGGGACTTGTCTAAAATCATACAAAATGAACACTAGGTGTATGTACACATATTGATCACATTCTCAGAACCCTCTCAGACCAAAGCAGGTAACCACTGCTCCAGGAGTTACGTCAGAGGCCTTTCCTGTCTTGGCCCAGGATGCTCACCACACAGTGGTGCTCACCACACAACACTGAGTGACTTGTTCTCAAACCACATCTGTAGCCACATACTTGTATAAAAGCCTTTGATGCTGGTGTTGTTCAAGGATTCAGCAACAACTGCTTTCAAACTGTTCTTACTCCGAGTGTCACTTGCATTTAGTT